TTAAATAAAGGTATTTATTGTTTTTAAAAAGTAAATAAAAGTTAGCTATTATAAGTTATTACTATCAACTAACATGTTTTAATGTTTCTACATGATTCCAAAACGGAGATATGGAATAGAATGTGGAATAGAATATAGAATAGAATATAGAATAAAATAGAATAGAATAGAAAATAGAATAGAGAATAGAATAGAGAATATAATATAGAATAGAATTCACAATATAATATAGAATAGAATATAGAGCAGAATATAGAATAGAATCCAGAATAGAATATAGAATAGAATCCAGAATAGAATCCAGAATAGAATATAGAATATAATATAGAATAGAATAAACAAAAAAATTATAGAATACAATATAGAATAGAAAGGAATATAGAATAGATTATTGAATAAAATATAAAATAGAATATAGAATAGAATATAGAATAGAATCCAGAATAGAATCCAGAATAGAATATAGAATATAATATAGAATAGAATATGGAATAGAATGTAGAATAGAATATAGAATAGAATAAAGAATAAAATATAGAATAGAATATAGAAAGGAATATAGAATAAGTTATAGAATAGAATATAGAATAGAATATAGAAAAGAATCCAAAATAGAATCCAATTGAATTGAATCCAGAATAGAATCCAGAATAGAATATAGAATATAATATAGAATAGAATAAACAAAAAAATTATAGAATACAATATAGAATAGAAAGGAATATTGAATAGATTATAGAATAGAATATAGAATAGAATATAAAATAGAATATGGAATAGAATATAGAACAGATTATAAAATAGAATAGAATGGTCCAATGTTCTCCTGGGAACGTACAGGAATGAATGAATAAAATAGATTATACAATACAATATAGAGTAGAGTATAGAATAAAATGTAGAATACAATACAGAATAGTGCGTAGAACAGTGTATATAGAATAGAATTTAGAATACAATACACAATACAATATAGTATAAGGACATCCTAATATCAGATGGGGTTAAATACTCCCGGAGCAGTAACTTCCAGCTGAAACACTCGCAGAAAATGTGACTAAAGGGACTCATCTGCATCCAAGCAGAATCGAGACTATATTTTCTCGGACAGAAAGAAAACATGCCATGATGACCCCTCACATTATATGTCAAAAACTTCAGTTATATTTTAATGAGAAGGGACGAGTTACCGTACTTGTATGACTTAACCAGATCGTTAGCTTTACAACAAATCTATTTCGCCGAGATTTTGCTCGCCAAATCCCATGGCTAGTCCTACAATTAATTTATATGTCTGCAGCAGTGGAAAGCTTAGAAGAAGTATGGAAGAACTGAAAATGCCTTGAACTAAGCAGCAGGTAGTGATGCAATGTCAAATTGAAAGATTCTTTTTTGGAGTTATCTTGACTAAGACGATATGAAAACAACAACAAACATGCTGTATCATACTAATAACTTAAGACAATTAAGCAGTAAATAAACATTAATTCATACCGTGTGAAAAGGATTTTAGTCAGTTTTGCAGACCATTACTTGAAAAGCATGTTTAGCTTTATTAAAGTTTCTAAGTAGTTTAAAACTAATTGAGCTTAAGTAGATCTATCTATAGATTCTAGTTGAATTAACTAACATAATCTGATTGTTTTCATATATTCATATTCATATGAATATATCATAATTATATTCACTAAATTCTTTTCAATATTTTTGTCTTAAACAATTTGGCATAAGTTTGGTTGTAGGTTCAAAGACTGACAATCCTTATTAAGACACTGCCTTAATCCAAACAAATCCAAATCAAAGCTCATGTACACACCTCAAAAAATTACCTTTTAATATGCAAACATATATTTTGGTAACATATCAACATTAAATTATGTTTTAACTTCAGAAAGCAACATGTTGCCTAATAAAATCAACAATTAACAATCGACAGCAGAAGTAACACGTCCAAATCACATCCACATCCACATCCACATCGTCATCGACAGCTGTATATAAAAAACCATAAGTAGTTGTTCACTGCACTTCCATAGGCAATTCCAGAACCAATACCTTTACCTAACCACAGAAACAGAAAATCAAATTCCAAAACCAAATCCAAACCGAAACCGAAACTGCCATGCCACGTCGTACATGTTTTTTAACAAATGTTTTCACTCGATTCCGTCTGGTTTATGGCA